AGATAGATAGATAGATAGATAGATAGATAGATAGATAGATAGATAGATAGATAGATAGATAGATAGATAGATAGATAGATAAAATGAAACCGAGGTGGATAATAATAATAATCGGTGCCCGCCATTCAAACAACCAGAGAACCTCTGCTCTCCTATGCATCTGAATTGGCAAGCCCCAATTATTAAATAACCAAAACAAAATGGAAAAGCCACTGTGCCACCTTTGAAAACAACTCCAAACTGTCCAGAACCCAGAACCTCGTCAGTAAAGATCTGATACACGGAGCTGATGTCCTGCAACACAAACACAGAGTCACAACCTGAAGTAGCGCCACACTGTGGAAGACTACAAACATGTTCTCACCGCTCCGTCTCCGTGATGGTCTTTATCTGGAAACAGGGACACACCAGGAGGGGGTGGTTTTAAATAAACATGTCTAGTTTCAGGAGTTTAATGAAAGGTTCTTGTCGGCTCACCCTGCTGCTCCTCCCCGGGTCTCCTGCTGCTCTGCACGGGCATCAGAGCCTGGCAGATGGCGCTTTCCCACGCGGCGCCGTCCGCACCCGCCTGCACGCAGAACACGAGCGAGGCCGTCACCAGCTCAAAGGAGTGAGAGTCGTCGCCCGTCAATGGGGCCACGGAGAGGTGGGCGGGGCCTCGGACCTGCAGCACCCGTGACAGCGGGATTTCCTGCCGGAGAGGAAGGGGGCGGGTTTTTTTTTTAAGCGCCAAAATACAAAATGTTGACTTGTTTTTAAGTTTCAACACAACAAAAAATGTTTCAGCTGAAAAAACACTAAAATCTACAAACCTTGTAGTACTTTGTGCTGATGTCATTCTGGTACAGAGTGATGCACTTCCAGTCCAAGACCCAGTAATGTCGTTTTCTCTGAGATAATAATACCAGAACTTTATGCTCTAAAATTGATTCTAAAAATCAAAATATTGATACTTTGATACTTCAGATGTTTTAGGTAATGTATATTATTAACAGGAACACAATGGAAAGTAACTAAATAAGTGAAATATTGTCTAAATGTTGGAGGGAACTACTTTTTCTTCCACCTGTGTGATGTGTAAAGGCTCAGTCTGTCAGTAGATGCTACATGTTCAGTATTTTGATGCCAATATAATGTAACACAATTTAAGACACAATTCTTCACTTTTATAGTTCTTGATAACTAAATTTATTTTAATGATTTTATTATTTTACTTTATTTTATATTGTTTAAAACACAGTTTTAACATATTTTATATGATTGTGTCCTCTGGTTTTAGCCGGCTATATCATAGATGAGTTTTAATTTATTCATTCATTCAGTGAAAACCAAACAGTAAAAACTTCTGAAATTAAAATGAATGCATAAATCACTCACTGTTTTGTGTTTTTATGAAGTAATGATTTGAGRTACACTATTTATTAGATTTCCCAGACACACTAGGTGTAAATTTGTATCAGTTTCATCTGAACCAGTCTGAGTTTTACTTGGTATCAGAAAGGAAATCTGTGGCATCAAACAGCCCTAGTGGGCAGAAAATAATAATGTGTGGGCGTGCATTATTATTATTTTATTTTTTTACAATGTCACCAGATGGGTTCCATACAATTTATAAAGAAGTCTGCAGGTGCTTGCAAAAAAGAGCAGCAGTTAGCTGTAACATTTTTGCTGCGTTGCACTTTTGGCAGAAATATTCTAACAAGTACTCAAATTTACACTTCTAAAAAAACAAACAAAAATAAAAACAAAAACAAAAAGTAGTTGTTAATTCTGGATTAAAAACTAAACACGTTAAATTTTCATTCTTATTGGACTGCTGATGATGTAACCAGAGTGTGTGTGTGTGTGTGTGTGTGTATGTGTGTGCTTGTTTTGACTACAAAGTGAGGACCATTTGAGCCATAGTTACTATCAAAGTGAGGTCTTTGATTTAAAGGACCTCTTCAATGTCCACACTCTATTTGCAGCTCTACTAGTTAGGTTTAGAGGTACGGTGTGAGATAAGTTCTGGTTCAGGTTAGAGTTAGCTATAGACCAGTAATGGTTAATTATAGACCAGTAGTGGTTAATTATAGACCAGTAGTGGTTGATTATAGACCAGTAATGGTTAATTTTAGGGAAAATATCTGGGTTAGACATAAATAGTTACAAAAATGAATGGAAGTCAATACAAAGTCCTCAGTTTGATGCAAATACAAGGATGTGTGTGTGTGTGTGTGTGTGTGTGTGTGTGTGTGTGTGTGTGTCTCACCAGTGTGTCGGTGTCAGTGTGGTGCAGCAGCCAGCCCTCTCTCAGGACGGCTCCGGCTCTCCTCTTAGTGTGATGAACCGACTGGACCAGCCTCATCAGGGGGATGTTGCTGCTGAAGCACGGACTGATGGGCGGAYGGGAGCAGAAGCAGCGAGACAAACAAAGAAGAAGAACCTGGTCAGGCGGCGGCGGTCTGAGAGTATAAATCTCACAGGTTTACACGGTGAATGTGAGATGACATCATCAGGACGCCAACATTTTCTACCAACAGGCCTCTGACCTCATCGGCTCTCTGGGCCGCTCCTCCTCGCCGCCGTCCGTCAGCGAGTCACAATCGGTCAGCATCTCGTCGTCTGAGGTGTCGAGGGTCATGAGCTCAGACTCGTTGTCCTCGGCGTCCTGTGGCCAGGTGTGAGCGGCTGCCGAGGATTCTGGGAAAGTGACGATAACAATAGGATGTCGGAGCGTCTGATGGGTCATGTTGCTCAAATTAAAAATCACTGTGTCACAAAGACATCGAGGTCACTTAAACTAAAGTAAATCCTTTGATTTTTTAAAGGAACAGGACAGAAATAGGAGTCTATGTCTATTTCCTATGAATCTCAGGAGCTTACAGGACCACCAGAGTCAAAGTCCAGCATGTAAAAGCAGGAGCGGTTGCTCACCGTTCCCATTGATGCCTCTCTTCTCTCCTGGACAGTCTCTGGGGACCAGCGGCTCGCAGCGCTTGTGACAGTTGAACCTGCAGTCTGACGGGAAGACGAAAGGAGAGAGGCTTCAACACAGAGAAAMAAAAGTCTGGTTTCTCTAAGTTAAATTCATCAGACATGTCCAGGCATTCAGGAAAATGTTTGGAGCCCGCCGGGAGCTCCTGATCTAAACCGTGACCAATCAGAGATTTAAGGAGTTGGGAAGGGGCTGGATTTAATTTTTAACCTAACGGCCAGTTTAAACAACATAACATGAGCCAGACATGCTACTGCTAGCTGCTACTTTTTGTACCTGCAAAGTAAACTATGCACCAGATTTATGCATGCAGAAAGCGAGAAGTCCAACCCCAAAAAATCATCCAAAATTGTGTGTGTGTGTGTGTGTGNAATATATTTTGACAGTTTTTTTCCCCAGTGTGCTACAAAATTAAACAGTGGTGGACAGAGCTAACCCAAAAATTAGCTCCGCAATTTCTAAAGTGCTTATAAAAATATTTAGGTCTACAACTTCAAAACCGCTTATACCGTAGAAAAACTAGCGGAAGCTAATTTTAAAGCACAAGTTCAATTTGACACTTACTAGCTGACAATTCATATACAATATATGCACAACATTGTCAACTAGTGGTGTATGAACTCTTTTACAACTTAATTCTACAACCTTCGACTGCTGGGGATGTGATTCCCTGAAACAGAACTTTGGCTCCTGGTGTAAAAATTAAAAACTTGTTGAGGATTGCTAGTTTGGCTGATTCTTTAAAAAGTTGTTGAGGATTGCTAGTTTGGCTGATTCTTTAAAAAGTTGTTGAGGATTGCTAGTTTGGCTGATTATCTTTTTCTTTTGTTTGTTGTAGATTTTTCATTAAAGAAGCATCAAAGTAATTTTAAAACTGTTTATTGGAAAACCGAAGCGATGCATTCTGGGTACATGACGGACTGACGGGAAGCAAAAGCACGGGGAACAGGAAACTAGTATCTTCCCTTCAAAATAAGAGCTTGGATTTTAAAGTTTCGCATGTTTCCATTGGATTTTAAAGTTTTCCAGTTCACCTGAAACTCATCAGGCTGAAGAAGTCTCTTGGAGGAGAGACGAAACATTTCACTAAAGAAGAACCCATCCAGTGGACCTACTTATTTTTTCTTTTTGATTTTTTCTACCTGGATCAGGACGTTTTCCATGTAGTTGCACCAGTTGACCACTAGACGTCAGTCTTCACCAGCATAACATCTTTAAATAATTTCTGAGTCTCTAACCCCGTTGGCTGATTGCTTTTGAGCTCCAGTGTTTAAACTTTTTTTAAAAGGAGCTCCAATTGTAAAGTAAAATAAATCAATACACAAAATTTTAGTATGGATTACAAACGTTTACGGTTTTTGCTATTTCCTTCCTGCTATGTAAGCAGACACAAAGCATTGTGAAAAATCAGAACCATGACCGAAAGCAACTGTCAGCAAGGATGTATACCTTCCCAAGAAGTGTGTTTATCTGGGAGGAGTGCTGTTGGATAGATCATATGTTGTGATTCATTGACAACTGTACTTTCCGCTGTTCAAGATAATGATGACTGGTAGATAGTTAGTTATTAGCGGTACTGCATTTTAATTTTAGAAARTGCAAATCTGCTTATGAATTATGAAAATTAGTAAGGCCGCTAAAGCGCAAATGAAATATTTAGGTCCACAATTAGCAGATTTGCTCTTTAGCGGGCTTGTCCCCACCACTGAAAATAATTTCAATATTTGTATATTTGTTAAACAGTGAATCAGTTTCACTGTTTAACAAATATACACATAATTTCAATATTTGTATATTTGTTAAACATTAAATCAGTTTCAGCCACATACAGAAGCTCGCGCCCAAAAATGTGTGTCCCCAAATTAATCTGTTTCCCCACCAGAGGGGGCACTGCAAAGGCTGGGGTCTGTAGGAAATTACAGGTCAGGTTAGACATGAGGATTCAATTTTTTAATGCTTTTTAGGCTCAAAAAATGAGGGGGTCGCATTATCCATACATAAATACAGTATATGACCGTATACTGTGAAAAAGACAGCACTGTATTTATAAAACTCTCTACTTAAAGTAGCTGTAAGATACAGACTTCCATTTTAATGTGTGGTGGCAGCTAGGCGTAAGAAAGGTCACTAGAAAAAATTTGATTGCCACGTCTAAATCCAAGATGGCCACCGCCATGTGTTTATATAAAACCAGCCACCATGATCATTTGAGGAAACTATGCTTTCTAGTTTTTATGTAGCTTAAAGTATAGTTAACTCAAATGATTGGGGTGGCATGTATGGTGGGCAAGGCCACCATTGACAGCCCCCCAGCTCCACCCTTGCTCATCAGGATGCATCATTCAGATCACACTTCAGTGACGTTATCAACATTGATCATATATACTGTGTTGTTTTTGTTTTATTGCCCAGCCCTTGTTGGACGTTTTGCAAGTAAATTTGTAAAACACAGATTTAGAGTCAAAAACATGCAAGTCCAATTGTCAACTATTAATCATTATCTGTTAAATGCCACAATTAATCAGGATCACGTCTTTCACCAATATTGTCCAACCCTGCTTGAAAAATCAAAAACAACATACCTAGCTCTTACCCATGTGGATAGCTTGCATCATAAACATTAGTTTAACTAATAAAATGTACAGAAAAACACTCATCTCAAAAACTAGAAGCATTCAGATGTCAGACCCGTCAGCGAKGGGGACATCAGGTTTGATTGTGTGTTTGTGTGTGAGCAGCAGCTGACCTGAGCACTGCAGCCCCTGCCTGAAGAGGCCTTTGAGCAGCCGGTGGCAGTACTGGCACACGGTGGGCTTGGTGTAGCTGTGGATGTGGAAGGTGTGGGGGACCTGAGGCCTGCTCCTGTCCCCGGCTGACAGCCAGACCGGGGGCTCGTTCCACGACGGAGGCCTGGACAACGGTTTGGTCATGCTGATCTACGTTGGGGACAGACGGAACGAGTCGTGAGTGGCGTGTGACCCCAGTTTTACCTCGTTTGCACCGGGCTGTTAAGAGACCTCCTCCAAGCTGCCTCCGGCCTGGTTGGACAGCGAGTGTGTCGGCGGGCGGCGTGGCTGGAACAGGGAGAAGCTGGTGCTGACTTGGCGTCGAACTCGGCTGCAGTTGTCAGGCAGCAGGAAAGCACAGCGTTTATGGAAGTCTAACCCACATCCTGACAAGAGGAGACGCAGTGTGAGAAATTCTGAACATCCAACAGAAGGCAAAAGAAAAGTGTGTGTTCTAGTGTCTGTTAGCACGATATTTTATGAACTATGGGATGGATTTTAATGAAAACATCAGAAAATAATTACTGGCTGCACTTCTATAACTGATTAACTTTTGGAATCAACCTGATTTAAAATGGATATCATAACTAAGCAACCTTAACAAAAATAAAAATAAATATAACTCTGTCAGCTTTACAGACATTGAGCTAAAGTTTGGCGTGATCGTAGCTGAGACTTTTCCACAACACATTTTCTGAGTGCTAACTGATTGCATGAGATTTGTGTTTAAAATGTTGCTGTTAACTATTAAAAGTCAGATTGACCTGTCTGTTAGCAAAATTTCTCAAGAAATTCTAGACAGATTTTAACAAAACTCCTAGATAGTAATGGCTGGAGTTACATCTACAACTGATTAACTTTCTAAGTCAATAAAATTCAAAATGGCTGCCAAAGCCAGCTGAATTTAGAAAACACAAAATGGCTTTAATTCAGTCCGTTTTACAGATACTAAACTAAAATTTGCCACAGGAGGAGCTGAGAGTTATTCACAACACAAGCACTGAGCGTGAGCTTGKACAATCACATAACATTGTAATATGATACAACCAAAACAGCTCTGAACTCACCATTTCTCTCTCTTAAAGTAAAACAGGTACAAAAGACAAAGGTCAAAATGTGTTTCTTTAAGTAATGCTGGGGTTTTTTCCCCAAATTTTAAGAGGGCACTTTTTATATGACTCATCTTACCTTCACATTTTAACCCCTGTCGCACGAGGCCCCACAGCATCTCCCCGCAGTGGTGGCAGAAGGTGGGGGTCCGGTACGACTGGACCACCAGGGAGTGCGGGCGCATCTGCACCTCAGCTACCGAGGCTGAACCTGAGCCAGGCCAAAAAACAAAAACAGGATGTGCAAAATCTTTGATGGTGCCTTTTTCAGATACAGTATGTAAGCTGCTCATGCTATAGGTCCTAATGCACCCCTATACCATCAGAGAGGCATGACTTTAAACTGTGTTCTGACAACAGGCTGGATGGTCCCTCTCCTCTTTCGTACGGAGAAACTGTAAAAGAAATTCACAGAAAAGTTTTCTGTTTCACCTCAGTCCATTTAAATGAGCTTTGGCCCAGAGACGACTGAAGTAATATGGCTTCTTGTTTGCATGATAGAGCTTTAACCAGCATTTGTAGATGGCGTGGTGAGCTGTTTAAGTGTTCCTGAACTCATGCAGTGTGTTTATTTGTACCACACCTCCTGTCCCGTTTTTCCAACGTCATCAAATTAAAAACTTAGATTTTCCCAAAACAAAAAATTGACATGTTTTATTATTTTACCTGTTTGACGTGTTTACTATGTTCCAGTGAATTTATAAATTTATAAACTGGACTGTATGTCCTCCTCATGTACAAACAGAGTGTAACCAAGCAGCACGATACCTTCAAGGATAGCAGGAAAAAAAAAAAAAAAGAAGACAAAATCCAGAAAATCCATCTCCCCCATTTCTGGACTAAAACCTTTTTGACGTCTGACCTGCGATGACGACCTCGATGAGGTCCCCGTCCTGCAGCTCGTCCTGGTCTGTCAGCCGCTGCAGCAGCTGCTCAGAGGCGGGTCGGTGTCGGAACAGCAGGATCTTCTCGCCGGGGCCGACCACGCTGCAGTCAGGAGCCTGAACACACGCAGAGCCTCAAAATAATCCTCAATCCAACCAGAAAACAGGTGACTTGTAAGAATATTTAGTGCAGTGACTGGGAGTCTGGAGGAAGGACTAGCAGTATTTTTTTTTAAATAATAACTTTAAAAAGYGAGAAGAAAAGGTTAACTTCATAATTTATTTAAACAGCTGCCTAAACTATGACAACACTTTGTGTGAGTGAAGAGTGTGGAGTGAGACTGAGACAGATCTCTGCAGCTTCCACTTTGTTGTGAACTCTGTGCCTGTTTGTTGTGGTGAAGACCATCGCTCTGTGKACTGGTCCTTAGTGTTGTAGTCAAGACCACCTAACCCAAGACCAAGTCAAGACCAAGACCACAGTGTCTCGAGACCGAGACAAGACCAAGACTTTTAGGGTTTGGACCAAGTTGAGACCAAGACCAAGACCAGATTAAAAAAAGTTTCCTAAAAGATGGAGTATTCTGTACACAGGTACAGTGGGGGGGTATTTAGTCTCTCATCGTTGAGGTCTAACTATGATGTCAATCATAGGCCTCTCATCTTTTTAAGTGGGAGAACTTGAACAATTGGTGCTGACTAAATACCTTTTCCCTCACTTTAGCTAACTTAATATATAGAGCTAATCTTAACAAAATCTTTCTGTGTGTGAGGGCAGAGGAACGAATTTTTCTACAGAGGCAGATTGTTAAYGTTAGTGACGATATAAGTTTAAAGTTGTCTCCATTGTCTCTGAAAGTGAAGCACTGCCATATTTACAAGTTGCCAGGGTTCGACAAGATTTTATTCTTTTTTACCTGCCCTGTCGGGCAGGTGACAACAAATGTCACCTGCCCGACATAAAAAGTTACCTGCCCGACATGAAAAGTTACCTGCCCGACATAAAAAGTTACCTGCCCGACATAAAAAGTTACCTGCCCGACATNCCGACATGAAAAGTTACCTGCCCGACATGAAAAGTTACCTGCCCGAAACAAAAATGTTCAAATTAAGATAAAATAAGAAAAACGTGTACTGTACTTTGTACTTCAAAAATATTAACATGGTTATACAGAGGTATATAATATATGACATCTGATTAAACAGATGCACACTTTAGACTGAGTTACGAACAGTCAATTTTATTATCAAGAACATCTTCAAAAAAGTGTTTCCCTAGAGTACTGGCCTTGGGGGTGGGGKTTATGAAAMCAGAATGATCAACAGCAGCAGCTTTGTTTTAATTACAATTTACAGAACATGAAAACGTCTGAAATTTGCATTAATTAAATCTCATATAGTGAATCTCATATCCAAAGATATATTTAAGATATCTTGAACTGGAGTCTCCATACAACATGATGATAAATCTAATGTTATTTATACTAGTCAGAATATAATCAGAGATATCTTAAATAGGTATTTTGAATTGTCAAAATATATTAAGAGATGTCTATTTATTTGTTTGTTTCTTTCATTYTTAAAAACAAAACCATCTATGTACCGCATTAAAAAACCCAAAGTAAATCATACCCTGAAGTAAAAGGGTGCAGAGTGTAGGGGTCACCTCGAGTGAAGAAACAGGAG